AAAAAAGGAAAATAAAAGAAAGAAACCTAGAAATCAGAACCAATTGTTTTAAAAAATAAGAAAGGTATTTTGTATTATTTGTTCAACTAGGAAAGAGATGTTTTTTACTCCCTGTTAATCTTGATGTTTTGAGATTTAAGGGTAGGAGCAATTTAAGGTAGAGGGAGAATATTGCTTGAGCAGAAAACGAGAGAAAAAGAGAAAAGAAAAAAAAATAATATGATTTGACATTTTATTTATTAAATGTTCCAAAAAAATTAATTGCAGTCCAGCTTTTAGATCGGAATTAACAAGAAATGGATTAATAGATTTTTTCATTATCAATAAGAAATTAATGTTATTTTTAAGTGATAAAAAATTGAAATATAGGATTGTTTTTTCCGCTTACTCAAATAAAGTTTATATAATTTTTTAGAGTGAGAAAATTGAAATATAAGATGAGGAACCATTAAGAAGTATGGAGTTATAGTTCAGGAGATTACAGAGGAGAAAATAAAGCCTGACTTAATAGGCATTATTCAAATAACTAAAATTTTAAACTTATCAACTCAATTATTAAATCTATTTGGGCATATTTGCTTGATTTCCGAGCGTGTTCAATTTTTTCATATTTAAGATTTGAAATGATGAAAAAAATTCAAGAGTTTTCTCTTTTTATTCATTATCTTTGTTTTTTTTGAATTATGGGAATTCTTATTTCATTTTAATGATTAATTGGAATTGTATTTTTAAAATAGATATATTAGACCTTTGAAATTTAAAGTTTTTTTTAAATATTTGTTAAACAAATATAGGTACTTTGGAAATTTTTTGAATTTAAGTTGTTATATATTTATATATATATATTTGAGAGGAGATATTTCCATTACCAATATATTGTTTTAGCATTTGATTTTAAGTTTAAGCCCATATTAAGCATTTATTTATTGTCTTTTTGTAAGCCTTTTTTTAGCAAACAAAAAATCTTTGAAACAATTGGGAATAAAAGTTAGTTGCATTGTAAATACAATAATTGGGTATTGCAAAGCTTTAGTTATATTGGAATATACTTTTTAATTTAACTTGGAGTAGTAATAGTTATTTTTTTTTTCTCAACGAGTTTGATCTTTTTTATCACTTTCTTTTGAATAATAGTCCTATTTTTTTAATTTTTAACGCTAATAATAAAAATGAGAAAATGATTTATATGTAAATTTCAAATGAGATAAAAAAATACATGTAATATCTTATATTTTTTTAATAAAAAAATAAATAGTAATGAATTTAAATTAACAAAATTTTATTCAAATAATATATATATGTCCACGCCCGATGCACAAAATTACGAATAGAATATAAGATACTTAATTATCACATTTTAAAAATAGGTATTGAAATAAATCAAACCAAAAGAAAATTGAAATTAAGAGATAAAAAATCTCATAGCATTTATAATCTATTAATTCAAGTTGGATACTTTAAAAAGCAAATGGCACAAAACCTTATTTTAGATAAATAATTATTAAGTATAATATCCAACATTTATAGCATGCTTTAAAAAAAAGAGTATAAATGAAAAATGCCCTATTTTTTAGATTTTTCAAAAAAAAAAACCAAAAAAAATCTGCTATTTTAAAGGAGAAGTAGAAATGTTCATTTTCATTTTCAATAAATGTTATATTGCAAGACATGTAAACAAAAAAGAATTCATAAAGTATAAAACAAAATGCAATATAAATTAATCATGTATTATTCTATTAAATAAAAACTTATTACTTTAATATTATATAATAAAAAATTAAACAAGTTAAAATAAATATTAATGAGTAACTTCAACGTGCATCGAAAACGTCATAAAAAACTAAGTAATATTATAAAATCAACAAAAAATAATATGATTCATATTAGGATGTAGGCAATATATATAGGTCACTATATGCATTAAAAAAAGTGCTAAATCCACAAAAAATATATATTGAGTCTAAGCATACTAAAATCTTCAAACCATATATTCTAATGAAAAGTAAGACATTATAACTTTTAAAAATTCAAATTTTCAACCCAAAAAAAAAAGTATACATGAGTAATTCAGACACATAGTATGTAATAGAAATTTCTTAAAAATATGAAAAATTAAAATATTGTATTTTTAATTCTTTAATCTATATTGTTTTTCAAATATATAATTACCAAATTAAAGAATAATAAAATAAAATTTCAGTTAAAATGGAATAAATAATAGGATTTTTATTTTGTTTCCATTCCAATCCCGATATACCCAAATATTTTAAAAAATACATTCGATTTTAAATTCTGCATCCCAAAATTTCATTTTCCAAGAACATTTTGTTTGGAATTTACCCAATTTGGATTGGAATATTTTGATGAGATTTTATATTTGGATTAAAAATGACTTTCAAATTGATTATTGAGATTAGAAATATTTATATACCAAGTAACCACAAGATAATAATCTCAAACTATCTAATAATCCTAACACTCCCTCCTCGAAGTTGAGCGTGCCAATACTCAACTTGCACGATAAATAAAACCTATTATTACAAGTTCTTTACTATATGTACAATCCTTTCTTTAGTTTTCAATTGTTCTTTCTCTATATACAATGAGAAGAGGAAGAAAAACTAAAAACTATGACGAGGAAGGGAACAAAGAAACTAGAAAAGTCCCTATTAAACTCTTCTTTGATGAGTTAAAGAAATTTTACCGATCAAATAGTGTAAAGAGTTACCCAAGAAAAAAGCATAAGAATTATCATTACTTTCAGGTAGCATTCCTTTATATTGAAACTGGTGACATGAAAACAAGGTTGCAAAAATAATAGTGACAATTCCTTTCAATAATCTGAACTCCATCCCCAACCCATGGCATAGAGAAGCTTAGCAATCTGGTCTACTGAACCACCATTCACCCAACAATAAACTTCCAGCCTGAAGCTTCTTCTTTCATCTATGGCTGAGCTTTCTTTGTTCGAATTACCTCATACTTAGTTTCAAAATTCCATCCTCTACAGTTTCCTTAAGAATATGACAAAAAACGATGCTAGTTAAGGAAAAAAAACAAAAAATCACCATAAGAGAATTTAGGATTGAGAACTAGCGGAACACGAGCACCTTCCATTTTTTTACAAATAAGCATGTCCCCAAGAGATGGCCATCTATATCATCATATTAACCACTGCATATGATAACCTCGAAAAACCAACTATTCTCAAAAGAGAAGTACTTCTTTTGTCTACTTCAAAAAATCGACACCCGATTACCAATATAGTACCAGCAAAAGAAATAACAACTGCGAACCAATCACATTTAAGATAGGGATTGTGAATTAAGCAATTGTTGACCATGAGGGCGATCAACTTCATCAAAACATTTTAGTTGAATTACGATAAAAGAGGGCAGAAAATTGATTGACTAAATGAGGAGAGCTTGAGCCGTAAAGAAAAAGATAGAGAAAAAGAATGGCTGACGCCGAAGAAATAAGATTTACAGATATCAAAAAGATGAACAAAGAGGTTTTGAAAAAACAACGAACATTACAAACACCAATCCAAAAAGGTAAAACAAATTTAAGGATCAATCCAAATCAGGTAATCAAAATGGATATACTCCAGCAAACCAAAACAATCAATCATCAGGGTAAAGTGGGAAACAATCCACAAATTCAAGTAATCAATCAAGGTAATTGCTTAATTCAATAGATCTAAGCACAGATCAAGGTTAAGAGGGATAAAAACCCTAGAAATTTCAAATTCTAAGAGGGATTTAAATCCTATATTGATATAATCGGACCCAAAAGACCTTCAAAAGTAGAGGAAATATCATAAACCTAAGAGTAAACAATCTCAAAGATCAGATCAATCAAAGTAAATTATTAGAAACAAATCTTGAATCAAAAGTCGAAAATTTCTAGGCAAAAATCAACCACAAAACCAGCGAATCATTCAATGGGAATGAAAAAGAACGAAATTTAGGCAAGATAAATGGTAGTAAACACAACAAAAAAATTGAGAATCAATTCTGAACAAAAATCTGGAAAAAATGTAATGAAGCATCAATAAACGTCAATTAAATTGAAGAGAAGAAAAACGAAGGAAAGCCATGGAAAATGAAGGAAAAACAGAGAATATTGAGTAACCCATTTTTGTTTTTATTTTTTTGGGAGAGAAAAAAGAGGCTCTGATCCCGTGACGAGAATTTGATATTTTAGATAAAAAGAGTCTCTCAAATTGATTATTGATAGTACAAATATTTTTATATACAAATTAAAAACTACAGATAAATATTCTCAAACTAAGCAAAATCCTGCGTATATTTACAACCCCTGCACACGGATAAAGCAAATATTTGTTAATATAAAAAAAAAAAAAGTTACAATTGGAGATATAAATTATAGAAGATAGATAATATAATATATTGTGTTTGATTGATAATAAGCGGTAAGAGTGCTCACTTCAGGCCCAAACCATCAAAAATCAATCACCAGGTCCAGACACAGTATTCAAGATAAAAGCCCAGCCATAAACCATGACTATGTAATTTGGTAACTGCAAGGCTTAATTAGTAATTTCAGTAATTTCTTATATAAACGATCAATTTTAATCTTTCCTGCTTTCCAAAACCCTTACTGGAAGGGATCAGCTGCACAACCTCAGGCTTCGTCGATGTCTCTTTATTCATCTCCTTTATGGTTCCTGAATTGCAATTTTTGCACTAATCAACCTCTGTTATGACAGTATAGTTTCGCGATCACAAAACCTAAATTTAGCTTAGCCCTTTTCTTATTTCGTTCAAATGATCTACTTGTTAGTTTTGAGATGGAGCGTGAAGGTTACATAGATCTTGAAAAGATTTTTAAAGGTTTACTACCTGATTTAATATTGGACAGCCTTCGCGTTTTATTTTAATTTGATACTTTTTCTTTCTAATTTTTTTGTTGGGTTAATGTGCTGTGTGTATTTACTTCCGTATTCGTAGTCATAATTTTGCAAAAATTTTTGCTGAATTTCTTTGACTTAAAAAATTGTTAATTTGGGGCTTTTCCAGTAAGTTGTTGTGTCTTTGGAAAGATTTGAATCAATGGCTCCAGTTAAAGTTAGCTCCTTCCCTCCTGCTATGTTTCTTTCTTTAGTTTTTTTAATAATATTTGTGTATTTTTGCTAGTTTTGGTTAGCTTATCTGCCATATCTTTTTAACATTTGCTTGAAGATCATTTTTTTAAAAATTTTGTTATATTAAACTGAAAACTTATGTTTTTATGCTATCTTTTTTAGGATTTTCAAAATGGCTACTTTTCTGTGAGTTAGCTTTTATTGCTAGAATAGGAGCCTCTTTCCTTATGGTGTTGTCAGCTATTGTAATATGCTGCCAGCTTTTTCTATATGTGATTAGTTGTGGTTTGTAAGATTAAATTCAGAAAGAAGCAGTGTTAATGATTTAATTTATTTATTTGTAAGATATAAATTTGTTGTTTTTTCTTATAATGGTATTATCGTTTTGGAAAGGCGTGAATTTATTTATGTTATATCTATATTGGAATTCGAGGACAAGGGATTTTGGAAATGATTCATGATTTTAAATAGCTGTTAAGTTTAGCCCAATTTTCTCATTAAAATCCGGTTAAGATGAAATCTAGCTAATGGAAGAAAACCTGATGGAATGATTTGCGTTCGCTTGGCAGAGTACTAAAACTTATCCATTGCATGAAATAGGTTTTTTTGGCCTATTTTGATATTTCTTATTTATTGTTTGTGGTTATAATATGTATTAATATGCACCTACTTTCAGTCTGAAGCAATTTATTTTTCTGTATAATCGCGGGTTCCAAATTCATTTCCATTCTATAATCCCTCTTTCTGTTGTCAATCGTGTCAGTGATTGTATTTTTTTGTCTTATTTTGTTAAGTTTATTATGATTTTTGATTTTTTCGATCTTGAGCATGAAGTTTGAGAAGAACTTATTTCTTGCTTTCCTTATTTAGTTTTACATTTTCAACAAAAACAAGCTACATTTATGTTCCGTGGTTTTATCTTGTTGCCTTTAAAATTTATTCTTCAACTCTTGCAGCTTGATGGCTACCAAGAAAAACGGATCAAGGGCCCACAGGCCGTGAAGGCTTGCCAAGGCTGTGAAATTCAGGGACCGGCATTTAAGAAAGAAGCCAGGGGAAAGATCAGGACAAAGGTCACATTTCACCGTCCCAAGACATTGATAGAAGAGAAGAGAAACCCAAAGTATCCACGGCATCAGTGCGCCTCCAAAAAACAATTGGGACCATTATCAAATTCTGGAAAGTATCCATGACTACTGAGTCTGCCATGAAAAAAGGAATTGAAGATAACAAATACTCTTGTGTTTATCGTTGACATTCGTGGCTGACAAGAAGAAAATCAAAGATGCAGTGAAAAGAAGATGTATGTACATCCAGGACCAAGAAAGTGAAACACATTGATAGGTAACTGTTTTTTGTTTTGACTGAGTCCAATTGTTTATTTTCGGGTAAAATAATGTAACTTGGTATAGTGATTTCTGTTCATACTTTGACAGAAATCTTAATTAGTCATTAGTTATTTTTTCGTTAAATAGGGACTCTGTTGGTAGGTAGAAGTAAAAACTTCCTGTTATTTGAATAATGAAACTGTTCTTATGCTAATGCAGGGCCTGATGGAACAAAGAAGGCATTATGTTAGGTTGGACTCCAGACTATGACGCCTTGGGGATGTGGCAAAACAATTTGGGCCATTCCCATCTAAATGACAAGTTTTGTAGCTATAGATCTTAAGTAGAAGAGAAATCATGTTCTGATGACAGTTTTGTTAGGTGTTATTCCAGTGTGCTAGGCACACCAGTACATGTGTTGTTTTGTTTGTTTTTTTTTTTTAAACATATGTTGAAACTAGAATTCGTTAATTCTATTCAGTTTAAAATTTTTTTTGGGCATTGCCAATTTTAAATGAGAATCTGGAACCTTGGTCAAAGAAAGGGAATTAGTTAAATTTGATGTTTCTGTTGGAATCTATTTGGGTCAATGGATGGTTCTTTACCGTATTTAGGATGGCCTAGCGTTGGAAGAAGAAATTTTGGAATGAAAAATAATAACAATAAAAACAGGAGTGTAATAAGAGAAAAAGGGGAGGAAAATTTTTGTTTCAAGACCTAGGATGAAAGCTTTGGACAAAACCGGCCGGATTAGATCAATTTCCTATAAAAGGGAGACAAATTAACAAAAATTATAAAACCAATAGACAAATTAGAATAAGAGATTTTGAATCAAGAAAAATTTTTAAAAAATTATGTATAATTGAAATCAGATAACATAACCCGAAAGGGTCAGGAGCATGTACAGAAGTAAACAAGTTTCTTGGTGAAGGCAAAAGAACAGGCAGAGGTACTCATAATATCAGCAAGGGTTTCGGAGATTTTTAATATATAATAAATCAAGGTTCAAGAGGAAGCCCAAACCCAATGACATTCCTCAAGCATGACTAAAAACGCGGCAAGTCTATCTCAAGCCGTCTTGTGCTTGAATGAGGAGCTTAATCGATTGCAGAAAGAAAAGCTTGAGGGAAGCTAAGAATATTTTGGATGGCCAACCTCCAGGCGTGGACGATGTCTTCTTTTCCATTTCCATAAATTACCCCATTTTTCCCTCTGCTCGCCGAGGGGCTGACAATGTCGTCCGCTATGCATTTCTTGCCTTTCCTTAAGTGGGGGCAATTAGAAACAACAAAAAAATGACGAGATTGGCGGTAGGAGTTGGAAAAATACGGAGTATGATCTCTTCGTGGAATGAGTAGTCAATCAACATCGAAACAATTGTTAGAACAAAGGGTATTAGTAATTTGCTACAAAATTGACTCATTACAATATTGTTTCCGTAATCATTTTCTGAATTCCAACAAAGTATATTACTAATGGGTTATCAATTTAAATTGTTCTTTTAGGTCCGTCTGTGCTTTTTCTGGTTGTTGAATGAATGCCTCGCCTCATCCGAAACCTCCAAACTGCAAATTGTTTAACGTTTGGCCTCGTAATATGTCCTTGGCTGTTAACCTTCCGAATTCTTGTATGTTTGAAACATATTTGCATTAACAGGTCTGCTTTCTATCTGTTTTCGCGCAGGCTCGTCATCCTTTGCTTGGCTATGAAGGTTTCAAATGGATCAAAGTCAAATGTCAATTTTACTTAAATTTTTCCAGGATTAAGAATTTAGTTGTTGTCTGTTCTAGAGTCCATGAGTCTGTGATTTGGTCAGTTCTATTTTTCTTCTGGATTAAGATTTGGATGATGTTCTTTCCTCTGTAAATACATGAAGTAAAATTTTCGTAGATTTTCTTGAAAATGACGATTGCTAGCTGCTATATATGTATACATGTCTCTCCACCCATGCCCAAAAACTTTATCCACATACAATTGTACTTTTTTGAAACTAAATGGATAAATACTTGAATTTTTCTTATCCAATAAGAAATCAAGCATTGTGGGAATTTGCAACTTGCAAAACTCTATAACGAGCCAAAGAGAATGTTTCCGCAATGCAACAAAATACCTAAAAAAGAGGAGAGAGCAAAAAAAAAAAAAAAAAAAAAAGCAGCAAGAGAAAACTATCAAAGCCTCACATCTTGCAAAAGCAGAGATTTATTTCAGTAGATTATGTTATTATAGGTGCAGTTTTAGCAGGCATTAGGATTTGCCAATAGTAGGCTCAAAACAGCTTTGAACAATCCTTAAAGGCCTTTTCTTTGCCCAGGGCCTTTAATTTGGTCGGTGTTTCAGCTCAAAGTCACCAATGGATATAGTATTTTGCTGCGTTTCTTTGCAGACACAACCCCATCGGGCAGGGGATTGCTCAAGCTCAAGTATCGAAGTGATTTTCGTCAATCACATTCATCAATCATGTCCACCTTCGCAATCACACTGTGACTAAATTGAAGTTTTCTTTATCAATTGCTTCCAATCCTTATGCTTGAAATACTTGAATTGGGCTACCTGCCAAAAAATTAACATTCAAAAGTAGAAGACGTTAGAAGTTTTATCCGACAAAATAGCTGTTTTAGTAGTTTTTTATTAAAATATATTAAAAAGTTAACATTACATGATGTTTTTAATTATTAGTGAAATGATACTTCAATTTCTAAAAAGTTAGATCAAACCCTCTATATTAATCAAATACCATGAAAAACAGGTGTTTTGCCGAAATATCTCGCTACTGAATTTAAATTTAGGCAATTTAATTAAATGACCATCCTTTTCCAAAAATAACTTTTTTATGGGTTCCAGGCCCTCCATCTCCTCAAGGATTTCGACACTCTCAAAAAGCTTCTGTACAATCTTTGGTAAGGAGAGTTCAGCCTCCAAGGACCAAGGCCTTGCTAGAGCAGCCGGAAGGGATAGAGAGGTGACCACCCAATTCATAAGAAACACACCCATTATGACTATTAGGAGATTGAAAGTGATGAAGGAAGGAAATGGATTGAATATTGGTTTGTGGGTTCTTCAAATTCCTAACAAAAGAGTGTATTTATAGGCATTGTCAAACATAAAACATTATGATTGAAGTTGTTTATTTTGTTGGGATTTCTAGACTTTATGTTGCCTTTAATTTGATTCTATATGGCTTCTAAATCTTTTCATGAAAACAACATTGAATATATTTATAAGCAATTCTTATTGCGAAGTCTTATAGCTTTAACCTCTACTCGGATTATCGGCGAGACCTTTAGCTCAGATGAAATCTCCACACGAAGTCAGCGGGTCTTAACCCAGACATAGTCACCACATATGGTCATCTGGTCTTTAATCCCAGGTTTACATCATAGAGTTTCATGCATATTTATTCACATGTTACAACATTCACATCGACTATCATATTTGTAATTCATTTACCTCATCAAATATCTAATAAAACACACCTTCCGCCGTTTGTCATTTGGCCACAATATATATATTATTAAGTAGACAACTTGTCTTTAATAAGGTATCAAATAATCTATTATTTTGATGCAAGTGATATATAATAACGGTTGTTATAATCATGAAAAAAAAAAAAACATATTTCATATATGCATTGTAATTCAAGACTAAAATTTCAAAAAATTGGAGAGCTGCCATCTATTAATTGAAATTTTTGAGGTGAAAAGATAGCATCTATGAATAAATATAGTTGATTTTGTCTTCATGTTCATATTTGTATTCATTTATTTACCTATGAGTATTCCTAAATCCTTTTTAATATAAAACTAATCTCGTTTCAGAATTCATGATTGCTTCTCTCATAACTGATTTATCTAATGAAAGGTCGAATGTAACTTTTTCTTTTCCTTCAAATTTACTGATGGGGATAGGAAAATGTAATCAATAAATATATATTACTATTTTATTGACTTTTAATTATTTATTGTAATATTTTTAATATTAAAAATATGATTTAAATCTATTTTAATATGATGTAATTAATTAGTTAACTTTAAATTAATTATAAAATACTAAAATTTTTAGCTTGAATATATACAATTAAAGTATACTTTATTATAAAAGTTTAGATTATTTATTTATATATAGTGTTTAGATTTATAATTTTTTTATTATATATTTTGCAAAAATGTTATAAAAATTAATTACATCTTACATCTATCAATTTGTAATACAAAACTCTAATAAAGAAATATATCATAAATAAAAATGTGAAATATGGAATGTTTATAATATATTTATAATAGAAAACTGCAACAAATATTTTGAAAAGTGTAAAAAATTGGAGAGATGTTCATGGGCACGAATCTAAGCATATCCGAATCTCATTAAATATTATTCTTAGAAATTTTAAAAACTCATCTATTTACTGAGATTTTCATAGTAAATGTGTTATTTTCAAATGATAATCCTTTGCCTGAAAATTGTTACCATTCTCATCAAGCTTATATAGTTGTATTTATACAATGAAAAGCAGTGCAGGGTTCGGTATCGTTTGAACCCATGCAAGTCTCTTGCGATATAAAGTAATTCGGCACATTGGATAAATTATGAGAATTAACGATATTTTTATTAGGTATGGTTAGTGTTTTAAAATTGTCAGTTTCAATTTTAAAATTGTTGATTTCAATTATAAGGAAAGCGAAATCGAAATCAAAACTAAATCGTTTTTAGGTGGTTTCTAAGACAAATTTAGAATACGATTTTGATTTGATTCCACTTTTGAAACCTAAATTATTTCAAGTTTTTTAAAATTCTTTTTAAATTTGTAATTTGAATAAATAATAATAATAATACTATTTAAAAATACTAAATCAATTTAATAAAAATTGTAAAATTTTTTTAATTTTTTAAGAATATATTTTTTTCATAATTTCAAACTGGAACAGTTATTTTTAAATCAAAACCGTTGGTTCCAGTTATAAAAATAAGGAATCAAAATCGAACTTTATATACATAATTTTGATTACGATTTAGAACCAATAACCATTAATAATGGTTTTGTGCTGATTTTAATCAATTTGATTTTTAAAATCGAATGGTGTTAGATGGCTAAACTTTTTAGCATAAGACATTTAAATTTTATGCTTCTACGGGAATTATTTGCTCAATGTACCGGTAGGTACTGAAATCTGACGTTGAGTTTTTAAATTTGGTGAAGATCATTGGAGAAAACTATTTTACTTTCGTACATAAAAAACAAAAATTTCTATTATTTAAGATTAAAAATTTAAGAGAGCATTTAATTTATTTTTGAAGAATTTATTAATCAAGTCAAATTACATTTTGGAAAAGAAAAATGAATGGCTGGGGATGTGAACCGAGGGATGTGAATGGCGAGCCAAAGAGCCATACAGGTGTCAACCTGGACCCGCGCCTCTTCAACGTCAGCCTATGACCAACAAACAACACAGACAGATTCTATTAGAGGATAAGCAAAGCGCAAGAACTCAAAAACGAGGATAAGCTGTCCACCACAAAAATTTTGCGGCTTCCATACTCGATAACAACAACACTCTCATTTCGTCCTCTCAGCTTCTACCCATTTCTCACAGCAATGGCTTCTCTACAAAATTCACCTTCACTTTATCGCACATTGTCTCCTACCTCTTTTCCTCAGGTCTTCCCTCCATCTTTCTTTGTATATATGCCTTTTAATGCACTTAATTAAGAGTTTTATGGGTTTGTTCTGTTGCTTTTTAGATAGGACTACAAACGTATCATAGCTCGTTTCCTTGCTGTAGAAGAGGCATTTCATTTATTGTACGGTCGGAGCAACCTTTGGCTCATTCTCAAGGTTACTTCTCTGTTTGATTAATTGCCTCAGTCAACGCCATTAGCTATGTCATTATCAATCTTGAGCGATGAGCATTTAGTTTGACAATTGGGATAATGTATATGAAATAAGCAAATTCTGACGGATTTCATTCTCATAAGCATTTGAAGTTTATTTAACCAAATTAATGTGTAATTATGTTTAAAATTACTTTACCATTTGATATATATTAGATGTCCACTGCACTTCAAGTGAATTTATGGAAAATGCTGTCCTTTACTGGCAAATTGGTTTTAAAAATTAAGGTCAAGGTAATAGGCATTTTGATTAATGTCAATGGTATAGATATGCCTAATGTTATGCGGGGTTACTTACTGAATGCTTTTTATTCTAGAGTGGTGTTTTGACAAGTATTGATGGTTCATTATTGGCCAACTTAACAGTTCATAAAGAGGCATAAGGTTTATTCTAAAATTCATTCATGTTGCTGTTGTTACATTAAAGTAAATGGTAGAAAAGACCACAGAAAATTCCATTCTAATGCAGTAATGCTTATATGGGAAAGTTGATATCAAGAATAACATGACTAGTAACTCATACTTGTGGTTGCTTGTTGTAGGAAATCATTTTTCAAGAATATTGTTTGTGAGCTATAAATATATTTTGTGGACATGGCATTTCAGCTGATTGAAATATTGAGAATAAAATCTAGCCATACCCTTGAATTTCCTTAATGAATTGAGAATTAACAACTTTTTGGAAACAAACCTTACTCAGACCAATAAATATAATCTCTAATATGATTTTCCACTCAATTGCATATGCAACAATTACAAGTTGATTATAATTGGTTCTGTTATTTTTTGTTTAATTTTGATCTACTTTTGCAGTTATATCAGCAAGACGCCAATTGATTGCTGTCAGTTTGATTGCTCCTTGGGTTTCTCTGGTTAACCAAACTCCATTATGTAAGCTTTTGTCATTCCAGATGTGAACTTTTCTGTTTTGCTTTTCTTATTATATTAGCTAATGAAATCCCTGCATCAAATTCTGGGTTTAGTAGTATATAGAAAGAAATCAATTGTTATCAATGCAGTGTGTTTGTACCTTGAATATTGATTGATATCCTAAGAGGACATCCTTGATATGGTTCAGTTGCTGCAGAAACTAAAAAGGGATTTCTCTTAGTCACAGACAAGAAAGATGGCTACTCATTCCTCTATCCATTTGGGTGGCAGGTATATTTGCTATATTTTTCCCTTACCTTCTATGTTCCTCTTCTCATGTCCATAATTTACACTGTTCATTTGGGTGTGCGAACAGGAAGTGGTCATCGAAGGTCAAGACAAGGTCTTTAAAGATGTTATTGAACCATTAGAAAGTGTCAGTGTAAATACAATACCAACCACCAAACAAGATATTCGAGACTTTGGACCTCCACAACAGGTTTCCATATGTTCTCTTGCATTATATGTATTTGTCAAAAGAATGGGAGGGTCCATTTTTTTATGCCCTTGCAAAGACATATAATGGTAGTTGATATATGTAACTGATAGAAGGTGCTAATTTTCACTGGTGCATATTCTCAGGTTGCTGAAACATTGATTAAAAAAGTTTTAGCCCCTCCATCCCAGAAAACAAAACTAATTGAGGCATCTGAGGTATATTTTCCAAACCATCCTGTTTCTTTTGAGTTAAATTTATTGTTTGATTTAATTTCAAATTGGCAGAAAAGCATCAGATAATATTTATTCCCTTTCCAACTGCTTCACCAAGCTTATAACTTCATGATGCTATAACCAGTAAGGTTATGAGGCTTTGAATCTATACTTTTATATTGTATATTTTCATACTAAAACCTATTTGCACAATGTTGATTCAAATGATGAAGAACATAAAGAATTTGGAATTGCCAATGCTAGCCATAACCAATTGGTTGTGTAGACTAAAAGTGTCCTTTTGCATCTATGATTCAACAGCTACAGGTGTTTACGAGTTTGTTTCTGTGTGCATGCGAGTACTTGTATTTGACTAATGAAGCTAAGGAATGGTAATAATTGTCTTTTGTGTCTATGCAGCATGATGTTGATGGAAAAGCTTATTACACATTTGAGTTTGTTGCGCAAGCTCCAAATTATACTCGCCATGCTCTTAGTACTATCTCAATTGGCAATGGTATGAAATTAATTCACAATTTTTGAATATGTTGTTGGGAATTGTATTATGCACTACACCTTGTTGTAATGCTTTCCATCATTCATTCACTGATATAGAATTTCTGAACAACTTCCTACTCTTAGCTCTCAAATACCTCATTGGTGGGATTTGAACCTCGGACTAGACCAAAGCCTCATTTACCTATGTGTATAGTTAGATGTGTCTTCTAATATCAGATAATCAGGACTGTTGAAAGTTATATGTTGTCATTTTCATTTGGATTTGGCCTTCATTTTTGGCAGGTAAATTCTACACAATAACTACAGGGGCCAATGAGAGGAGGTGGGACAAGATGAAAGATAAGTTGCACACAGTCGTTGATTCCTTCAAAATTTTCAATGTCTAAGTTGGTTGCTAGATCTTTACTTGGTCAAGAATCTTCTCCTAGAAGTGAAGCACCATATTTTGCATTTCTCAGAGTTTTGTTGGCCTTTAATTCTTATCAGCATGTATGCTGCTTCAATTTTTTTTTTCCCTTATTTTTTTCAGAGCTCTATGGAAATTTCTCTTTTAGGAAAATAATTTTCCCGCAACATTGTTCAATGCAAAATGAATATTTATTACTGACAAAACACTACTGCTACTGTCTTATTTTACATTTTAAATGAATTTTTATTTGTTTACATTAATGGAGGAAAAAAGAAGTTTGAATCAATTTTTCTAAGAGGAAAACTGAAGATTATGCCTTCCAGGCAGTGAAATATTCCCAATGGGGAAGGACACTTAAAAATATTTAAGTATGGTGTTGGAGATTTGTTAAATTCTCCTTTTTTTAATTTTTTATTGGATGGGTTTGATGGTATATTGGTGATATGTGGCTAATTAAGTTAAATCGGCTAATTTTTATTTGTTTGATGGTATATATTAACAAAATATTGACATAAGTACATATTATTTTGTAAGTAATCACTTCTAAAAAAAAAAAAATCACGTTTTTTATAAATTTTTTTTAATATTGGGAAAGATCTAAAAAAAAGGAATTTGAACTTGATCTATTGTCTGTAAATACACTTATGGCTTGGTGTGTTTATATAATTACTTGACAAAACACTACTAGCTGACTGGGTCATTTATTTTACATTTTCAAATGAATTTTATTTGTTTACCGATTAATGGAGGGAAAAGAAGAAGGTTTGGAATTCAATTTAATTTCTAAGAGGAGAACGCGTGAAGATTAACCTGCTTCCCAGGACAGTGGAAATATCCTTCCCAATGGTGTGAAGGACAACTAGTAAAAAATATATTAAGTATGGTGTTGAGGATTTTGAGTTAAATTCTGCCTTTTTTTTAATTTTTTTAATTGGATGGGTTTGAATGGGTAATAATTGGGTGTATATGTGGCTAATGTAAATTAAAAATTCGGCTAATTTCTTAATTGGTGTTTTGAGTGGGTATAATATTTAACATATTGACATAAGTACTATATTACATTTGTGGTAAAGTAATTCAACTTCATAAAGAAAAAAAAATCACTGTTTTTTATAAAATTTTTTTTTAATATTTGGAAAGGAATCTAAAAAAAAAAATATGGGGGAAATTTTTGAAACTTGGATCTATTGTCTGTAGAATAGCACTTATGGCTTGGTGTGTTTATAATATATAGTATTATAATATAATAACTATTGAAATTGCTACAACTTCGGGCTTATTTTTTACAGCCACTTCTAAAATTTCCGTTATCAATCATCTTTTTATTTTTAAAGAAGTTTAATCTTTTTTTTACGAAAAATCCTTTCAAATTATTTTACCCATAATAACATTTAGAGAAAGAGGTAATTTTAGTTTTGTTAACATCACCATTTCTACATAATATAGTATATATTATATATGTAGTAGTGACAAATTTACCTCCTAAGAGATATACATGAGGTTAACAAGAATATGTAGCAAAAAGGTATAGTACTATTAAATGTGATATGGACGGTGATTTATCCGAGGACACTTAGTCACTAATATCAACTATGCTTTTATTTAAAGGAAACCAATAACATTTTTACAAAAATAATATAAGAATAATCTCTCCCCGGCACAATACCCTTTTTATCTAAGTTGCTATGTCTTATAAAGATTATAGACACCCATGCTTTACTCTAACAAAAATATGCAACACTTTTTTTGTCGAGTCTGTCGTTAATCAGTAAATACTTAAGTTATGGACTATTTCATTCAGACAAAATATATGGTATATATATATATATATATATTACAAATTCCTTGAGATATTACAAGATATTAGCAAAAGTATATACTATTTTATAATTCAACTATCTTTTATTAAAGAACCATAACATTTTACAAAAATATTTAAAATATTCTCACACCAACATACTTTTTTCTAATTCTTAGCTTTAAAAATTATGACACCACTTTATTCAAAATTCCACTTTTTTTTCAAGTCTTGTTATCACAAATTAATTATGAACTATTTCATTCACAAATTGATTCAAAAAAATTTTTTATTATTGTTACAAATTTTTTTTTGAGAACATATTATTACAAAAATCTACTCTTTAAAGATTTTCACTTTTACAAATTTACAAACAACTCATTCTAGTCAATTTCTTGTTTTTATATAATAGTTGACATAAATTATAATATCAAATGCAAATTCTATTTTTAAATTTATATAATTTTATACATATTATTTTCTACAACATCTAACTTTTCTCTAATTTCAGCTTCAAAATTTATGCGAACATTTTATGCAAAATGCCAACTTTTTAACAATTCTTATCTCAAACTATTGATGATGCCTATTATGAATTATTTTTACCCCATTTACATATTTCATTTCTTGCATTTATTAATTTCATTTGACAAACTACACATTTTTAACTAATCCTTAAACATTAAAAAAAAAAAAAAGCATAATAATGCTCATGGTCATTGAAACTGCTCCAAAAAAAATAAAAAGTAAAAAAATAAAAAAACTTCAACTTGTTTGTTCTTCTGTGGCTTAAAATGATCTATGTCAATCAATTTTACTCGATTTTATTCGAGGTGACTCGTTTTTCTTGTAAAATCCTTACATTTATCTTTACATTTATCTCTACTAATGTCAACCCTAATCCTTCTCAAATTTAAGTTACAATAATCTCAAAATTATAAAATAAAAATCAGATCAGTTGATTGTAAATTCAACTTGATCGAGGACGCATTTAACTTGGTAAGCTTCATCATACAACACCTCCCTCGAAACTAAGTAAAAGCCGAAAAAATTTTCAGAATAAAGATTAGAGAAAACATGTTACATTAAAAGGTTAATTTAGGTCTATTTGGATAAACACAATTTTGACAGTCACAATAATTAATTTCAATCCAATATCTCAAAATGTTTAAAATGATTTTCATTAGTCTAACTAACTTATAATCTAAGTTGCATGAATATTTCGTGATACATAAATTATACTCATTCAAAGTTCATTTTTTTAATAAGAAAATCATACTAATGTTGACTAAAGAATAATTATTTTATGATTAGAGAAAAAATTTAATATATTATAGTGAGAAAATGATTTCATTATATTAATGTAATCCTAGAGTCAAGCCCAAAATTAGAATGTACTAGCATTAAATTACACAGTAGTTTCTCTCGTATAATGATTTATCACGTATTGCAATTAAATAAGTTTTAATCGCACTGAGATTCCAATTGCATGTTAAAAAATATAAGTAAAGATAAGTGAAGATTTAATTAATAAAATCAACAACAATAAAAATAATCAACCAACACTATCCATTAAAATTTGAAATAATTTTCAAAATTCAAAATTTTAATTCTTTTTGAAGAAATTCAAAGATTTAATTTTATCATTTTTACTAAAATTTTTTCTTTTTAAACTAACAACATCGATTTTTTGGTTTAATGATTTTTATATTAATTAGTTAAAGGCCCCGCGCAGTTCACGAATCGATTTCTTATCTAAACATAATATCAAATTCTAAGTAATTAGATTGATAATAATCTAAGCTTCTTGGTGAATTCATAGTTTGGTAAAATTTATTCCTCATTATTTTATTAATTGAAATAAAAATGCGAAACTTCAACGTGAATTTTTATTAATCAAGATTCTGAGATGTGTACTATACCACATATAAGCAAGTTATTTTAAACATTTTTTTAAAATTAAATTAATATAAATGTTGGCCGACATCATAATATAATATTTGTAGTAGAGTTTGGAGTTTAAGACAGCTTTTCATGAAGCGTTATCTTCATCAACGTTTAATGTTTTATAATTTTTTATGACACATATACCCATCACTTGTCTTTACATTGTTCTCTACTTTTATACCCTTTTTGTCATTTTATATTGAACAGCTAATTAAACAGTTATTTGTACCGAAGACTTTTATTCTAAACCGCTATATAAACAGCTAACCACTAGTAAAACAGTTAACAACTATTAAAACAACTAACAGCTACTATAACAGCTAAAATTACCAAACTGACCCGTTGCTTTCCTAGAAATGTCTTTTTTTTTTTCTTTTTAATTTCATCTTTTTATTTGCTTCAAATTAGTTTGCAGTTAGTCCTTAAATGGTCACTAATAATATTTTAATGACACCTATGAGTTGTGACTCAGTTGGCAACGCATGATGGGTATGTGAGAAGAGCTCTCAGGTTTAATCTCCGTTAAACACAACTGTAAGGAGAAGTGAAGAGATTTAAGTGTGACTAAGCCTTGAGTTGGCTTCGACGGTCCTAGATACCAGTGATTTACACAAATATAGTAGGTAATTCTTTGCTTTAAATTTTTTCTTGGAAAATGAAAATTAAAAGAACTTTATGCATATGTTTGCTATGCATAAATATTCATTTTAAATTTTATAGTTTTAATTTTGTTCTGAATTAATATTTGCTGCAAATCATAAACCGAAGAAAAGACCATTTTCAATTCCAAACCCAACAAGTAAGAGCATGTAAAATACTGAAAATAACTATTATGATGATAGTGATATAGTGAGGCAGAAAAAGATGACTCCTATACCTGTGAAACATAATACTCCTCTATCTCATACAAAAATCATTTTATCCTTTTTTACCCTTAAATATTAATAAAAGTCTTTCATTTAATGAACACTCATAAAGATTATTAGAAGAAAAATAATTATTTAATATGATGATAGTGATAATAAAGTGGGAGGCAGAAAAAAGGATGAACCTCCTCCTATAAGCTTGTGGAAACATAATACTCTGCCTCTAGTCTCATACAAAAGTAATCATTGTTATGCCTTTTTTAATCCCTTAATATTTAATAAAAAGTCTTTTCATTTAAATGGAACACTCATAAGAGGATTATTAGAAGAAATACATATTAATGTTAAAATGTACAAATTTTAGAATTTTATAAAATATTTTTGAAAGACATCTAAAAAAAAGGAAGAAATACCCAAGATAAAATGGAGGTCAAAAGAGAGGTAATTTTATGAGGCTCGGAAGCACCATCTAGAAAAATTACATAGGAGTGAGGACCCCACGAAAAAAAAAAGATTGACTCCTATACCCCTGTGGAAAACAATAATACTCGTCTATCTACATAACAAAAATCATTTTTAATCCCTTTTTTCCCTCTAAGATAGTTAAATAAAAGTCTTTTCCATT